CACAGCTGTTCAATTGCTTGTTAACACAAATAGCTAATCAGCCAATCACATGGCAGCAACTCAATGCATTTAGGCATCTTGACGTGGTGAAGAGGACTTGCTGAAGTTCAGAGCGAGCATCAGAATGGGGAAGAAAAAAGATTTAAGTGACTTTGAACATGGCATGGTTGTTGGTGCCAGACGGGCTGCTCTGAGTATTTCATAAACTGCTGATCTGGGATTTTCACGCACAACCATCTCTAGGGTTTACAGAGAATGGTCCGAAAAAGAGAAAATATCCAGTGAGCGGCAGTTGTGTGGACGAAGATGCCTCGTTGATGTCAGAGGAGAATGGGCAGAGTGGTTGGAGATGATAGAAAGGCAACAGTAACTCAAATAACCACTCGTTACATCCAAGGTATGCAGAATACCATCTCTGAACGCACAACACGTGGAACCTTGAAGCAGACGGGCTACAGCAGCAGAAGACCACACCGGGTGCCACTCCTGTCAGCTAACAGGAAACTGAGGCTACAGGCTCACAGGCTCACCAACATGTAACAATAAAAGATCTGAAAATCGTTGCCTGGTCTGATGAGTCTCCATTTCAGCTGCGACATTCAGATGTAGGGTCAGAATTAGGCGTAAACAACATGAAAGCATGGATCCATCCTGCCTGTATCAACGGTTCAGGCTGCTGGTGGTGGTGTAATGATGGGGGGGATATTTTCTTGGCACACTTTGGGCCCCTTAGTACCAAATGAGCATCGTTTAAACACTACGGCCTACCTGAGTATTGTTGCTGACCATGTCCATCCCTTTATGACCACAGTGGACCCATCTGATGGCTACTTCCAGCAGGATAATGCACCATGTCACAAAGCTCAAATCATCTCAAACTGGTTTCTTGAACATGACGATGAGTTCACTGTACTCCAATGGCCTCCACAGTCACCACATCTCAATCCAACAGACCACCTTTGGGATGTGGTGGAACGGGAGATTTGCATCATGGATGTGCAGCCGACAAATCTGCAGCAACTGCGTGATGCCATCATGTCAATGTGGACCAAAATCTGTGAGGAATGTTTCCAACACCTTGTTGAATTTATGCTATGAAGAATTAAAGCAGTTCTGAAGGCAAAAGGGGTCCAACCCGGTCACTAGCAAGGTGTAACTAATAAAGTAGAGAGAGAGAGAGACCACTAGTGTCTGACATGCCGTGATTCGAGGCCACATGAAGGAGATCACATTCCAGTAGAGGTGGGAGGGGGCAAGAGGCACACGATGCACGTTTGAGTACTAGAAAGTTCATGTGGGTTTTAGGGTCTTGAAGAAAAATCAAACTGTGCCAATATGGCAACATTTTGGATTTGAAGCCGACTAAAGAGGAAACCTAGTCGAGGCAAGCTGTAAAATAAAAAATAAAAAACAGGAGTGTGTTCCGATACCCGAAATCCCATACTATTCAGTATGGCAGAAAAATATTTAGTATGTCTCACTATATAATATGTCAAATGCAGTATTATGCCAAAAATACCAGGATGTCCTACTGTCCGGTCACATTTTACAGTACTGATACTGGGCACAAACAGACTTTTATTGGCTGTCTTGTTGGCTTGAGCATGGAGAGACTGCTCTGTGGTGTAGGTCGCTTTATATCACATGACATGTGTTATAGTTGCATCGGATTGACACCCGTACCGTCCTGGTGTCAACTGCATTGGCATTTATATTTTAAAGTATCGTGTATTAGGCCAGTGTTGTGTTGGCTCGTATTGTTAACCTAACATTGCTCTGGCCGTTTGTTGAGTTGTGCACTTTGCTGATTTGCTTCTGAGCAGGAGTTCGATAGCAGAGGTTAGCGGAACAAAACTGAAGTACATTAACAACACCCTGAGGGCGGGCTCTCCACAGCCGGCCAGAATCAATGCTCGGTAAAGGCAATCCATCACTGCTGGTTTACTCACCCACACTGCAGATAGTTTTGCATGTAGCATTCAGGTCAAATGAGTCAAAATGTGATCCAGGTTATAACTGTCAAGGTCCCATTCTCAGTGTTTTCAGCCTCATCAAACTTGATGAAAACCATCTGAACCCCAAACAGTTTTAGGGTGTTAATTGCTCCAGTCACATTTTACTCTCTGTAAGTCCTGCACCTCTATGGAAACAGCACAGTCATGGCTAGAGGTAGAGGGAACTCAAACATTGTCTTTTGTGCAGAATAACACAGTTACAATGCCATAAATCCTCAAGAAGAAAAAAAATATAGCTAGTTCAATTTTTTTGATAATTTATTGGAAAACACTGGAATCTATATATTCACCATTTCTCCACCTGCCCACAAATGTTAGCAATGTTGAAAAAATAATTGGAGGCTCTATGTTATATATTTATTGAACATTTTTACAGCCTCTCCTGTCTGCTCTGCTCTGTCACGTGACTGTTGGTCACAGGTGAATCAATCATGGCTTCCTAGTTATGCTGAGAAGAGCAGAATGTAATGTTTTTACAAGATCTGGTGAAAGCAAATGGTTTGTTCGGGGCGAGATTTTTAATGACATGTAGAACGAAATGTGTTTGATGAAATATCAACATTTTAGGCTTCGTTTTGGTTGCTTTTTAGATGGAAGCGCTCGTGACGGCTTTCATTACATTACATTACATTACAGTCATTTAGCAGAGGCGACTACAAAGCGACTACAATAGGTGTATTCAACATCGTTTTTCGAGAGAACAACTAGTCACCAGAAGTCATAAGTGCATGTCCTTTCCTCAAACAAGCATCTAAGAGCATAAACCAGAGTCAACGTACAGTGCAGAAACAAACGAATGCAATAAGTGCCACAAACTAATATAAAAACAATAAGTGCAATAAGGTAGTATGAATACAATAGATGCTAAGTAAGTGCTAAGTGGAAGGGTAGGCCTTCTTGAAGAGGTGAGTTTTCAGCCTGCGCCGAAAGATGGGCAGCGAATCTGCCGTCCTGACGTCAGTGGAGAGTTCACAGCTCCTGGCTGTGATAAACAGTGTAGTTTTAGTTGTTTGAAGAAAACATGCCTTTCAGTGTTCAGAGGGTTAAATGTGCATTCATGTAGTGTTGATACGTTTGACTCTTAATGTAGGGTAGTGGAATGAAGGCTAACAACTTCACCTGCTCCCTACAGTGCAAGCTCAAAACACGCTCCATCTCTCCCTGTTGTCTGGATAAATTCAGCAGAGCGTACATTCCCACTGCCCTTAGTCCTTCAGCACAACAACAGAGTCCTGTCATACTCAACACAATGTCTGTTGCTTTAGCAGGTTCAATTTGAGCGTGTTCAGGAGTTAATTATGTAATCTTATCTGCAGCTAAGAATATTTCAAGTCCTTCACTCATCACAATTTCTTTTTCGATAGATTTCTATCACGAGATGATATGAATCTGTCATCTGCTCAATGGAGTGAGCAACAAGTTAGCCTCTTATCTGGGGCTGTCTAAAGCTGATAGCGTGTGGAAAATCAGGGCTAAGATCATGTATCCTAATACATAATTCAAAGCATTATTTTTCGGTACGTCGTCGCTCATGACCCCAGGGAAGTTGAGAAGAGTTCGGTTAGGTTTCGTTCCTACCGAGACGCGTCACCCGCAAAGCATTTGTTTTCCTATGGGCCTGCCGTGCCCTTCTGTCTTGCACCGCATGCTGCTTTTTAGACAGGCATAAAAGTTAAAACCTTTCACAGAGTCCGCCCGTCAATATCACACTTGACCGAGGCAGCCAATCAAATCAAGCAAGAGGCTACTTCACTTTTTCCCCCCCTATTATTTACGTTTCATCACTTGGTTGCGCATGCACCCCCGCTCCACCTGCTCATCAGCTGTTTTGCCCAACTCGCTTTACAAGTGACGTTTTTGAAGCGTCCGCTCCTGCTGGGACGCGTCTCGCTGACCGGCCCCTTAGTGTGTCCAGCATCCAGCAAAGGTGAACTGCAGCCAATGAGCAGTCGTCTGTAAAGGCCCCACTCGTCAAATTGCACCAACTTTGACACTGCACGTCCTTTACTTCCCAGCAATACGCCCACCAAATATTAGGTAGATCAGATGTACAGGACACACACACACAGACAAAAAGTCCTTGCTTTGTTGTTAAATTCCAGCTTTAATTGAAACTTAACTGTAAATCCTTTCTCTAGAGTTGAACTATTGAGCTGCTGAGAAACTTGTGCTCAGCAGCAGACATGTTGACAGTCATGTGTGTGCTGAGTTGGCCTGATTTCCTGCATGTTGCATGGAAATAGTTTGATAGGATGTGACACACCGCTTGATGATTGATATTAGTCTACATGGGGTGTAACCGCTGCCCAGGGCAGGGCATGTGTCTGTCCTCACCATTAGCTTCCTGTGCAGGAACTGTCAAATTCTGCCCTCAAAATAAAGGCAAGGACACTGGCTGTATTTTCAGTGCCTCCGTTCGTCTCTTTAAAGCCAACCTTATTTCCTAAGCGTTGGTTTGTTACTAGAAGGTATAGAATCATTTCAATAAAATGTAGGCCACTATAGAGATCCTCACATCTAAAAAGAGCGCCTGGTTTTATTGATTTCCGCCGTACTTGTTATGTCATAGTCCACAGTGTGAAGTAGAGACTTTGTTAAAGGGCTGTTGGTGGAGAAATTGCCTCTCGCTGTCGCCATCTTCTCTCCCTTTCTCTCCCTCCCACGGGACCAGCAGAACCCCTGTCAGCAGTGACAGGCATATCCAAAGCATTTGCTTTGCATTGCCGTGTGTTCATGTGAGTGTATCAGTAAATAACCGTGTTCAGAACGAGAGCCCAGATGGAATTTTTTGGAAAATTGCATAGACGCTCAGACGCTCGATCCCTTGAATGAACATGTCGCGTATGCACGTCAGTCACGCTCTTATTTTATTTATTTTTTTTTTTCAGTTGCACTGCACACACCAGCGGTTTTCTCTTTTGACAACTTTGCAACCCTTCTTTTCTTTTTCTTCTCCTTCTGTCTGGCTTGTTCTCTCGCTTCCAGTGGAGAAATGTATGAGCTCCATGCAGATGGGGACCCAGATGGTGAAGCTCCGCGGTGGCTCCAAGGGACTGGTGCGGTTCTTCTTCCTGGACGAACACAAGTCGTGCATCCGCTGGAGGCCCTCGCGCAAGAACGAAAAGGCCAAGAGTGAGTGTCTTCTTCTTTGTTCTTCCAGTCACCAGGGAACAGCATATCAAATGTCTCTTTAATCCTGTGGATCATTGTATTCATGGTTCAAACCTATGGAAAGCCGTTGTGTCATCTCCCATGTGACGGGCAAAGGGCTCATTCAGTGTTGCCGGGTGTCCCATGAGCATCCTCTGAATCTTCATGTGTCTTCTTTCTAAGATGCTCCACCTAGCCGGCCTTCAACAATTCAACTAGTCTTAAATACATACCTCTGTTAACCAGACTAATGTCTTAACTTGTTGGCAGAGTCATTAAATGTTTCATTCAATGAATCTTTTTGCGAGTATTCTTTTGACAAACGAGCAGTTTGATCACCTGAACTCATCATTTAATGCCGATCAACTGTGCGATTGCATGATTAAGATTGAGCAACTTTTAGTGAGAGGTTGATGTGTCACAGTGTGAACACATGTGTACACACTTATCTCTGTGAGCATTTTAGTGCACAAGAATCTGGTGGCTCATTAATGGAAGAAAACGTGCCCTCGCTCAGGTTGTTTGCTTCCTCTCTGTCTGATGTGGCCAGTAGCTTCTGGTGGCTTCTGTTAGCAAACAGTGGATACATTCTAATGCTGTTGAACTGATGCCACTGAGTCCATCTGCTGTTTTTGAGTCTACTTGTACTATAGTTTGAGCATGTCCCAGGTAAATATTTCTATAATTTATCCACCGCAGGAAAAACGCCTTCACTGAGTCTACATATTGGTGACCCGGGACAAGTCTTATGAGGCTGGTATTCAGCTGGCTCTTTTAGTTCTTTCTCCTAAACATTCCCCTTTCTGTTCTTTAGACCTGGACATTTATTTCCCCTTGCATGCTGTATGTGCAATGAGCAGAACCAAACAGTTTCCCACAGTGTTTTAGAATAAAGGGAGGCAGCTCTGGGGGCCTCATGGGGACTTAAGGGCTCAGTTTCCTGTTGCTCTCCCTCCTCTGTAGCCCTGGATTTAATAAGCTTCTTAAGTCGACTTAATTATTCATCAGCTTCAATCTGCCCAAACAGTGTCTTACACACACTTGCCGCTTAAATGAAAATGACAGGGGAGGGGGGGCTTTCTGCAAAGATGCTGAAAACCAAGTCACAGAATTGATCCTAAATCTTACACCTTTTACGGTTGGATGAGTAAAACATGAACACAAATGGTGCAATCTAGACTTTCTTCAGCTGATTGCGTCTGAGAAACGGCGTTGTTTTTTTTGTGTGAAGGCACTCCTGTTTAAGCTGCTTTATCACAGCGGAGCGGGGGCACTCCTCACAGAGCATTTATCTTAATCCAGCTTCCACACAGATCGGCTAATCTGACGTTCAAGTAGGAGTGATGGGCCGTCTTCTCTTTGCTCTGCACCTGTAAATAGATGGTGACAGAGTCGAGCCTTCTGTTGAGTAGACGAATGCATGTTCCCAGCGTTTAGTCCCACCCAGACGGACACTGTGTGTGTGTGTGTGTGTGTGTGTGTGTGTGTGTGTGTGTGTGTCCCCTGCATCCTTGACAGGTCTCCGTTACTGAAGAAGAAGACTGTTGTCTGGCAGCTCTCTGTGAGGCTTCTCACTGAGCGCCCACTGGGACAGACTGACACTGCAGGCTTCAGGTCTGCTCTCACACTGACGGCTGTCCTGTGTATCTGGCAACGACATTTGTCCTTTCTGGCCCCCAAAATAACCAACACACCCAAAATGTAGAGTTTGAGCATGAAAACCAGGCAGCTACAAAGCCCTTACAAACACAGTTAGTGTTAGTTTGTGTTCGTTGGGTCAGCTGTTTTTAAATTTAGTCAGAAGCCATTTTAACATGTACTTAGATTTAGGGTTTCAAATCAGAATCCACCTCACCAGCTTTGGTCTGAAAGAACATGGGTGTGTTTTTGATGTCAAAGAATGTTTGTAAAACTTCCAGACATGAAAGCATGTCCCTCCCTAGCTTACTGTTGTGACAGGAAATGCGTAAACATGCAGAATCAGATATCCCTCTCTTAGTCCTTTCATGGAAACTTTAGCAGTGAACTCATTGATATGACTGTACTGCGTTAATGTTGACATTTCTCACCAAATGTACTAGCGTACGGCTCATGGTTTGGGTTAAGTTAACGTGAGCAGTCCTTTGGTGGTTGCCTAGCAAGAATAATAAGAAAGACCCAGCAAACGGCAAAAAGCACTTTGTTTGACTGGCCAACAAAAAGTCAGTTTTGTGTTTTCCACTCTGTGTGATCAGACCCTTCATGTGAAGCCACATGAATGAAATAACATGACACTGAGGGTAAAGGTTCCTCAGTGAACACACAGCTGGAGGATCCACCACGAGCATTTTAGCATTTAGCCAGACCCAGCGTGCACCTTTTGGTCATGCAACATCGTGGGTGTGTTTTATTTTGGTCACTTGGCGTGCTTGCTAGCTAGCTGGTGCATTAAATCAGTAAATAACTAGGTAGATGCATGTCAACTAATGCTCACCATAACCCTTCAGGATGTGATTAAGTTGATTGCAGTTTTTAACTTTTTGTCCGGTTCACTTCGTGCCCCGACAGCTGTTCCTCACCACTCGCTCGCCCTGACATTGGGCCAGTGAACATTTACATTAAGATCAATGCTGGTGTTAATTAGGGCTATAACGGTTCACAACATTCTCGGTTTGGTTCAATACAATACAGTGGTGGTTCCGTACGGCACGGGTCAATACAGCAGAAAAGCCATCATAAAGTATGTTCTTTTGTTACTTTGAACAATGATGGAGCACGCTGTCTGTTACGTTGGGTGGGTTGCCATGTTGAGCGCAGTGGCTCCACCGAGAGAACATTATATTTCCCACAATTTAAGCTTCCAAATGCACAAGTATTATTCAAACGTATTGTTTGATTTGTAATGCGTACCGAACCGAAAGCCTCGTACCGAGTGGTTCAATATGAATACGTGTATTGTTACACTCCTCGTGTTAATGTAACATTTCTTACCAAATGTCTAAAAAACTGCATTTTCGGCAGCAGTTTCTTCCCAGTATGGCTTATTCAATGTTTCTCTACCAGAATCCGAGGCTTTTGGAATTATAAATTAAGCAAAGACTAAATCTGTAAAATCAGTATCATAAAGTAGCAGGAAATGGAAGTACTTAAAATGTGTTCTTAAGTTGTATTTGAGTAATTGTACTTAAGTCTTGAGTCTCTGAAGACTGCCTACCTGACGTCCTCATCCTACAGCTAGCAGCTCATCACATTATAACACAGTAGTAGTAGTAGTAGTAGTTATCTTTATCTACCAGATACCTGCTGCACACTCCTCATTTACCAAAGTCCTGCAGTCAGGAGGAGCATGTGCACAGGCCCGTCTCCAGCTGCAGGATTTGAGGACATCACTGACAGCCACATGGGAGCACGCACAGCTCAGCAGCTGCATGTCCAATATCATGTAGAGGACATCTTCGACATCGTATATTTACACATACAACTGCCACAATACCACAGCTTCTATACCGTACGGCCTGAGGGAGGCTGTGTGTGGCTGCATTACTAATGAGCGTGGAGGTAAATATTGTGTCATCCATGTATGACTGAGAGAGACCGAGATAGATGCGTGTTGTGGTTATCTCCTCTGGACGTGGGGGGTTTTTTGGGGAATGAACCTCCGCAGAATTTTCAAAACAGCACGCGGGCGGAACAAGAAGCAGAAGGCCTTACCGTGCGCTCTGCCGTCATGGGGGAAAACTAATGAATGGCTCGAGGCCGTGTCTTCCCGTAAAATGTCATTTCCATCTCATAAATGTTGCATCTTAATAAACAGAGCGCTCTCTCTCTCTGCTCGTTGAGTTGACTATTTTTAATCCTGCGTATCATGAAGTCCCATCAAACTATCCCCATGCCCACAAAAATTAATTCACTATCTCACCCAGAGGGGGGAATACTCAAAACCAATAGGATGCTAAAGACTGCAGAAGGGTTTAATAAACTGAGTTTTGCTCTATTGTGTGTGTGTGTGTGTGTGTGTGTGTGTGTGTGTGTGTGTGTGTGTTTTTAAATAGGTTTTATTTTCTATCGGCTTCTGATGGCCCACGAGGCCTGGAGGCCTGGAGGTCTACTTCCTCTATTGAGACATTTGCTCAATTAACACTAGCAACACAGTTTAAAAGTACTTCATTACAACTGCAAGGCCGGTGTTGAAGATTTCCCTGACAAAGTACACAAGTATTAGCAGCAAAGATGTACGTTAAGTATCAAAAGCCAAAGCAGTCATGAGGTGTCCAAATGGCTCCTGTTAATGCACTCTTACGATCCAATAACTTAACTCTTTCTTTTTTCACCAAATGTTTGGTGTCTGAGGAGTAACTACTAGCAGGAAGCTTAATGTAGTGCAGTCAAAAGTACAATATTTCCCTCTGAAATGTAGTGCAGGTAGTACATTGAAATTGTGCAAAGTAAAAGTACCACCAGATTGAAAAGTCCCGAAGTGGTAGTACTTTGTCACATTCCACCACTGACTAGCTGACTTCCTGTTTTTCTCCGACAGTCTCCGTGGACTCCGTCCGGGAGGTGCGTGAGGGGAAGCAGTCTGAGATCTTCCAGCGCTACTCAGAGGGCTGCTTCGACCCCAACTGCTGCTTCAGCCTGTACTATGGAGAGCACATGGAGTCCCTAGACCTGGTGTCCAGAACCGGAGAGGAGGCGCGGACTTGGATCACGGGCCTCAAGTATCTGATGGCGGGCATCAGCGACGAGGACAGCCTGGACAAGAGGCAGCGCACCAGAGACCAATATCCTTCAGTTCTACAGCTGGTTTGATAATCTGGCTGGTGAATTAAGGTTACAACTTCCTGTAAAGAATGTCTGTCGTATGTAGAGTTTCGTGATCAAAATTATACGGGGCTGAAATCTGTGGAGAGTTTCATTTTAAAGTGTGATAGTCTGAGTTTATCTGTTCCTGTATTTAGACTCTTCAGCAAAAGCAGCAGCCGCACTAACTACCAGACTAAATGTCTTCACGCTGCCTTTCCTTAACCCAGCGTGTCATCACATGGCTGAAGCAGACCTTCACCGAGGCTGATAAGAACGGCGACGGCAGCTTGAGCATCGGCGAGGTGATGCAGCTCCTGCACAAGCTCAACGTCAACCTGCCCCGACAGAAGGTCAAACAGATGTTCAAGGTACGGAAATAACAAGGGCTCAGCTACATCGGGGTGTAAAGGTTGCAAGTAAAAATCCTGACTATTATTAAGCCAATCAGCCACTTGCTCCACTCAAGCATTTTCTTGTTATCCTTCGTCTTTATCCTGTAGTCCAGGGAGAGAAAAATTCCACTTTGAAGCAAATCTAAATCATACTGACCAAATGTCACAACTCGGTTACGTTTCCAGTACCTTCTGTGAAATAACAGTTAAATACCTTAGAATCCACAGAAGTTGTTACATTTTAAGCTGCTGATTGCAGTATATCATCTATCCGCTCAGAGTACAAAATGCTGTTAAGTCTTATCAATTAACGTCTGGAGGTAGAGTCTAGGGAAACACTGCTACAAAGGTCATGCTGGGTTGAATGGCAGCTAGCGACATTTGTCAGCAACGAAATGGGTTCAATCGGAGACCTTCAGTCTGCAGTTTAGAGTTTTGAACCCACACTTGAGTTCTGCTACCCAAAACCCAACGTATACTAACAAAGACGCAGCTTGTTTAGTGACTTTAAAATGTAAAATATAGATTCAAGTTGTTGTCTCTGACTTTGCCAGTCCTCTGCATCCATGGCTTTCATTTGTTGTCAGTAGATAACATACTGCTGAGTTAGAAGACGGAAAGAAGCTGACGCATTGCATTTCTATTGCAGTAATTCTATGGTCAGTAATGGAGGAAATGTGGTGCAGGGTGTCCAATCTAGTTTGTGTCTGTAATTTGGCAGTACCTGTTAAGTACGATCAGGTTGGGTCTTAAAGTAACAGTACGGGTCTGGTTCCTGTCTCAGTTTTAGGTGATGAAATAATAATTCTGTAGTGGAACTATCACAGAGAAAGGGAGAGGCACGGCTCTACTCAACTTGACATGCTTGCAACTCCTTTAGTTTGGGTTTTCCATCGGCAAAAATTGTTGATAATAGTACCTGGTACCTTTTTTTTGGTACCACCTCGGTACGAGGTGTACGTGTTTTCGTCTTACAACTTTAACCCTTCAACAGTGTGTTTAATACTTCTGGTTCCATAAAACCAAGATGGCGACAGCCAAAATGCCTGAACTCAAGGCTTCAAAACTGTAGTCAACCAATGGGTGACGTCACTGTGACTACGCCCACTTCTTACATATAGTCTATGACTCAATGACCCAACTATCTGCAGTGGAAAAACAAAATTGAGAAAAGTACTAGTCGAGTCAAACCATGCAGAGTAAATGTGGCATTATGGAGTATTGTAGAGTGTCAGGAAGTTTGGATTTCTAGAGCAACACAAGAACAAGTTGTTGCATAAAAAATATAGAAATCCGCCTTGCATTGGACTTCACAGGTGTCAATGTTGTCTAAAACTTTGAACATTCATAAGAAATGATGTAAAAGTTTCATAAAACTGTACAGCTAATGAGCAGCACACAGCAGACAGTAAGTGGGCTTATCAGGTCCCTTGAGACTGCAGTGTGTCCTTACTTCCTGGCAGATTGCGTGTTAGCAGTGAAGACACTCTGACTGATTGCCACCGCTGCAGATGTTGGCAAACGCACAGCTCAGCCAGCAACTCTCCTCTTCAGCAGAGGGATTAGCATGCCGCTGCGCTCATAGTGTTGTTCTAACCCTCCTCCAACAGAGCAGCTAGCCGTCGCTAACTCCAGCGGCATGTTGACTGTCCTCCATATGGCGCTGCTGGGACACAGATGGTGTCCTGTGTAATGCTGGGTAAGCACACCAGGGACCAATCTGGCCCCTCATGTGTCTGTGGACATTCAGGACGATTTTGTGTGTTGCCAATCTCTCGACCAGTTCTTCAGCCTTAACCTAATTACAGTGGAGAGGGGGGGGCACCTGTGGACCGGACGTCTTTTCCAGTTTAAAGTCGGTACACATACCATACATATTCTGATCACATTTTACAGCACATTGTTGAATACGTTTGCATATTAATGATATTAAATAACTTCTTAGTCCTGTGAAATGCAGAGTTCTCTCATACTGACAGAATTTTGTAATATTTTGTCCAAAGCTTTTCTGTCAATGAGGTGTAGACCAAATATCAGATCCACCTGCAGACTCCCATATGTTCATAAACGGTCAACGGCTCATTATCATAAAGGTAGTCTTTATTGTAGTGCTGTTGTATTGGACTCTATTAGTTTTAGTCAGGTGGACCTGATGAATTAACAACTGATTATATGTAATAACAGTTTATTTTAAGTATGAATGAAGGACAAATAATTACTGCTTGTAACACAATTTATGAATAACTGCCACACGCATTTAGAAATGTGCTGAAGGATAAACTAGTTCAAGAAGGCTGATGTGTGCTGGCTTTGTTTTACTATGTGCAGAAACTGTACGTTAAATTACATTTCATTAAACCACCCTGTGTTTACAACGTAGACATGCTTTCTTTTGTAATCATGAAATTACATATTCAAGCTGAACAACTCATTCTGTGAAGCATATGAATTGAAAAATGGTTTTACTGTTCCAGTATTTGGGGGGGGGGGGGGGCACATATTTTTGGAGATGAATCAAACCAATTATAGTAGAATGTATTCACTCAGTCAGTAACTAGCTTCTTTCACATAAGAGTAAGAATAATAATTAGAAAAACTTGGCAAAAAGATGAGCATCTTAACAAAACAGAACGAGTACTTTATTGATCCCAGAGGGTATCGCATACATCACAGACAAATGAGGAAGGAAGAAAGAAAATGGAATAAAAAAAAAGATAAATGATATGAAATACACCAACAAACAAAGAAATTCAAAATAGGACCATAACGTTCTAACCCTTATATGCATCGCACATACATGGTAGTTCCCAGTAATGTCCAGTACATTTAGTGCAAGTCAAGTTCTGTTGATATGTGTTTCACAGTAGGGTAAAGGATTGTATAGCTTTAACTGGAATAGAATAGAATATATAAATCTTCCCAGATACCCATAGATTAAACCGTAAATGAACACAACTCAACTATCCAATCCATATCTCAGTCTATGAAACCCAAATCACTTCATCAGTTCAAACAATGAGAGAAATCACTGTTGCTGTCAGCTGTTTGCTATCACGATGAAAATAGTTCAACCTGGAGGGAGAAATGAGCAGCCAGAGGGAATAACTTGCACTGACTTTAAATGTTGTTATTGTGGCAGTTATCCTCAATGGCTGTCTTTTTTTGCTTTGATAATTTACAGTTTGATACTAAAATAATGTTCCACAATCAAGCATAACCACTTCACCGTTTGCTTTGTAAAACTGTGAAACAATGAATGATATTGTCTTGGGAGTAATTTAGTCCTAATTAGCTGCTTATCCTTGAGACGTCTAGCACATTTACGGGATGTTATGCTTTTCCTACATGTGCACCAGGAGGCCTTTACCTCTCAATTGTTCCTTTTAAGATATGAACTCACAATAACACAGAGGAAACAGAAGCAGGGTGGAAGGACTGAACCTCTCAGCTGTTACTGACTGACATTTTAAATAGTGTGTCACTGGCCACCTGATAATTTCATACAGTGTTATTGTAATGAAGTATACCTAAAATACTTTGCTCTTCCACCTACATGAAGTCCATCACTACATTTCCCATATAAGAGTAAGCTCATTGAGAGCTTAATTTCCTCTGGGCAGTCAAAGGGGAACTCCGCCAGACATTGTCTGTCTGATGATGGAAAGCCAAGTTAGCACACACTAATCTGAACACACTGATCTGATGTGATTTACTGTGAGGAGGACTATGTCGTTGTTGTTGTTTTAGGACTGAGTTCAATAGTGAAGCAAAGTGCGTGGAAATGGATTTAAACTGCTGAGTTGTAAAGCATTTTCTTTTTTTCAAATCCTCTGGGGACCATGACTCTTTTCGGGAGCATATCTGTCATATGCTACCGTTGCAGTTTGATTGTTGCAGTTTAATTTAATCTTTTTTTTTAACTTTTACTACCGTTATATCATCACTGATGGACAGAGCTCCAAGAAAAAAGTCCCAAGTTGTAATAAAAACTGCATTTCTTTTTGGGCCACCTGCCTCTAGTGGCTCAGCAACAGAGCCTTGGTGATTGGGTAGAAGTTCAGTTCTCTTCCAGAATTATGTGAACAGTCTTATTCATTTGTCTGTTGATTGTTTTAACTACGATGTCGGTGTCATTGCTCATTAGGGCTGGGTATCGGTACTCAATACTTTTTAAGGTATTGACTGAAATAACCCTGTAACAAGTATTATCGAAAGTTCTCCAGTCAAACGATATCTGCATTTGATTCTTTTTGTGCCAAGATCTAGAAGAAAACACACTATTTGTATGGTTTTTCTAGCAGTCAATAATCGCAAGTGTTCTGATCTGGTGGCTAGCAGCTAACAGCGCTAACAACTGCAACAGTGCTGACAGAGCTAACAGTGTTTACCTGGGGGGTGGGACCGGAGGGTGGGCGTTAAACTTCCGCAACAACGCGGTCCCATCGTAGGACGGGGTCGTATGAGTGCTTTACAGTGTGCCAGGAGTTAGCTAAACAGTGGGACACACAAACGCCTTCCATTCATATGATGGGTGTGGAATGATTCTATTGGTACCAGTATTCATTTAGGGGTATTGGTACTGGCATCGTCATTTTTAAACAATACTCAGCCCCATAACTCGTGGGAAGTTGCAGTAAAGTATCAATCCCCAGACCTTTGTTGTCTTGTGTTGTCTGAGTGGTTTGTTGTTTGGAGCAGGTTGGATGTGACAGCTGGAGTTGTAAATGACAGCAAAGAAGTTTGCTTCTCCAGCAGAGGATTTGTTCAATGATTAATTACAGCGGAGACTGGAGGGGAAGCTTTATAGGAAGAGGAAGCTGCAATTCTAACTAACGATTTAATCCACATTAGCTGTAGAGCTGAAAAACATAGGGCACAAGCCTGCTAACAACTTAAGTGGCTGGGTTCATGCATAATGAATGGGCGTGAATAAGGCCAGATTGATGTTTTCTGTCCAATAAAAAGACTCCGTTATGCAGCTGTGCTTCCGCTACTTTGTTATCCTCCCGGGGCTAAGACGTGTCCTGAATAAGAAGAAGAAAAGAGTTCCTTCGCTTCACTTAAGAGCAAAATGAATCTGTATCACACAGTGTTTGATGGTACCGTCTAATAACTTGTGCCATGTGAGTAATGCTGTCTGTATGCATCTGTGCCTGTCGCTCAGTCACAACTTGGTGACAACTAAGTGACATGTATGCAAAACCAACAGGCGGGTGTGGTGACGTGAGGTGTTTGTCTTGTGTCTCTGAGTCATTTGGCTTCCCGTGTATGGGCTGAGTCAGGCCGAGAGCACGGTGCTGACAGTTGGGAGGCTCAATGTGTCAGCTGAGCGAGTTTTGATTTAGGATTCAGAAGACTGACGCTCTTGCCCTGTTGGTGGAGGGGACTAATGACAGTGTTTTCTGTGTGCCGGAATGCACTCCTTCTTTCTGCCATTACTATTGGTGTGTGCACCCTGCTGCAATCTCATCCTCATAGGAGTTGCCACTGCACTCTGACACGGAAGTTGTCACTGTGGACAAATCTATAGCAAGCAGACCAGATGGGACAATGGAAAAAAGTGTAAACATGTAGATTCCTTCCTGGAGATGTACTGATCGAATCCACTATCGTCCAGATGTGACCAATCTACATTCAGTTTAGTTTATCCATCCATTTCTTCACCTAATGCAATATTTCCACTTCCATTCATTCAGTCACTTCAGGCTTAATACACCTAGTTTAGAAGTATAGCGGCCCTGAGTGGCAACTGAGAGAAATAAATTCTGGTGATCTATTTTTTTTAAATCATCGGGTATTGGTGCGCTTATAATTCTTGTGGCCGAAATTGTTATAACAACAAAAACACAAAAATGATTCTGAGCAAACTTTTTACAAATGGAAAAAAAAATTTGCCGGGCAAACTTTTTTTCTTTACCTTTTTCACAGATGAAAATCAAAATTAAGGTATTTAAAGGGATTATTTTGTCATTTTCCCCCTTTGCTTAAGTCAGGAGATAAAAAAAGTTGGATGAGATCCAGAAAATGGATCACCAGATATTTTTTTCCCTCCAAAATGATGGCTTTATTTATATATGAAGGTCTTTATGAAAGCATTCCCACACCACATTGCAATCATTTGTACAGTTGGACATCTGATGGTGAAATAATAAATAAGGCAGAATCATAGAATCATGTTCGCCCTCTGTGGAAGATCTGATGTATCGCTCTCTCGTATACTGATGTGAGCCCAGTGTGTGCAGAACACTGAGCTGCTCGGAGGCCAATCCCAACAAGCACAGACGTCATCGCCCTCCAGTGAGTGGCTGCCTCCAGTGCTGCTTGACATATGGAGCCGGTCACAGTCTGCTCCAGTAAAAAGAAGGGGCAAGGATTACACGGGTCAGGGTGTGACCCCCCCCACAGTGCTCTCGTTAGGCCTGTCCAAGCCGTTTGTAGCCTGACTTATGTATTTTCCAGCTCGTTATAATGAGCAATCCAAATCTATCATTGTGAAATGAGCTGAAAACAGTGAGAAGTATTACACAAAGATAATGAGTTGAAATGTAATCAAACTAGTGTTATGTTAGATAATGACAAATTTCCCCAATAATATTTGAACAACCTTAATTTTTCATGAAAAGGGCAAGATGGAACAGGCTACATTTAATTTTTTTAGACATGCAAAATAATACCCATAGCAAACACGGCAATATGATAACATGACAATATAACCTCACAAAAAAGAAGGAAACAAACAATGGGGCAAAAACGAACCAAAAAGATAACTAAACAAAATTAAATGTGCCTTCGGTAATTCAAATAATTACGTTGTAGGTTTTTTTTCCAATTTGATGTTGTGTTGTGCTACTTTGTAATGGCTTGTAGTATTATTTTTCTCCAAACAGAAATTGTCTTCCAATGTTTTTTTTTTTTTTAGGAAAGTTAGATTCAGAAAACATTCTTGACCGAGCTTTGAACATAAAAATGATGCCCAACAGAGTTATTGTACTAATTATCTGGTGACAATTTCCCCCCAAATAATGTTTCGAGATGTAAATTTAAAAAAAATGTTGAGTGGCTTTAGCGAATTTTGAATATTGGTCCACAAACCAATGCAACTGGTCTTCCTCTCCCTCATTACAGAATCAACATAATGATTGTTAAATGTTAAACATTTGGTTACATTGTTTTTTAGTAGCAGTAATCTTGTAGAATACCTTCAATTGAAAGATTCTGTTGAATATATCAATTGTTTTCATTACATTTTTATACATCGTTGATGAAATAAAAGTTAATTATAACACCAGCCAAAAAGGAAAGAAAAATAAATGACAGCAAAAATGGGGCTTTAGGTTCATTAAGATTTGTTTTGGCTCTTGAAATTCTTGGGGTGTGTAACTCTGAAACTGGTTTGGAAAGATTCAGTTTGTGAAATTAATATTCTTTGACGAGGACGAGACGAAAATATCCAGAGTTTTAGTCTCCTTAAAACTGACAAAAAAGGTTGACTGTGACGTTCAATGCTAGGGTTCTAAGTGGCAAGCCAAACAAACAGAGACTGAATTGCAAGTATTTATGTCAGTTGTTTTAAAAAAAAGTCTGTGAATATTACATTTTGCCAATGTTGGGTAAAACCAAGAGAATAAGTGTTTCTTGTACCTGGTGTGTAGGAGGCAGACACAGATGACAACCAGGGGGCGTTGGGCTTTGAGGAGTTCTGCTCCTTCTACAAGATGATGTCGACCCGCAGGGATCTGTACCTTCTCATGCTCGCCTACAGCAACCACAAAGACCACCTTGACACGGATGACCTGGCCCGCTTCCTGGAGGCTGAGCAAAAGGTACACACTGGGTCTGCATTTTAGCTTCTCAGTTTCTACTGAGGTTTAAAAGTTACTCCACTGTTTTGTCATTGCTCTCCTACAACATTGTTGGATTCGGGTTGGACTGGATATTGCCTTTTTCATTCTTCTTCCTTGTCAAAAACTTGGGGCCTACATTGCCCACAATGCAACTTGACTGCCAACGGTTTGGTCTGAGTTTTGGGTATGTGTCACGATAGTAGTTGCTAATGTAGCCTATAGCCTCTGGGCTGCAGTGGAGTTGAGGAATGGGCTACAGAGTTCTGGTAAGCTCACTTGTTTCGAACTCCACACTCAAGCCGTGCTAGCTGTTTCCATTTGCTTCAAGTCTTAATGCTAAGCTAGGCTGGTCCCAGGGAGGAGCTTCAATATTAATATGAGATTAATGATTTCCCCCCCCCCCCTTTGTGAATGTTTAAATAAAACTGTATAGAGTGATTTAAAAAACAACACATCTTTAGGAATTCCTACTCTTCAGAAAGTTTGTCAGTTGCACATTTTCTCCTATAATTTTAATGTAAGCTACAAAACAGTTGCTCCACTGAAAGGTTAAGGGAAAAACAGACGGCATCCCTTTAAGTATGGATATTTCTGTTTCTATCATCCCAATTTATAAATGCAGTAGTACACAATCAATGGCCAGTTGATGCTCAAGGTGCTTTCTGAATACTGAACCAATCAAATTCAACAGCCACTCATGGTCTGCTTGAGAATCTTAGGCCATGATCACACAGAGACGAGTAACTACAGGCTCCCTAATCAGCCTTGGCAAAGCAGTGTGGTGCGTCTGCGGTGTTCATCATAGTTCATCATAATTAAATTCTGCTGATGTCAACCTCATGTCTGCATTTGCTGCTGCACCACTGTTCTACCACATCTACCACTTGACAATAGGAAGGAAGTGGTAAAGTAGCAAAGCCCACCTCTTGCTTGATTTGATTGGCTGCCTGGGCCAACTGTGACATTGGCGAGCGGGGCGCTTGCACTGAAAGTTGAGAATATTTAAACTTTTTGTGCATTTAAAAACCACGAGAAAAAATGTGCATACGGAGCAAGAAAGGAGCCCTCAGAAGGTGCGCCGTGACGTGGGGAAATAATGGTTCAGCTGTTGCCCCGTGCCGCGCTTCTAGCTCCGCATTTGTAGTTGGAAGCTTTTCTAGCGGCACGTTTTTGTAGCTACAAACGTTTCTAGCTAGACACACTTCTTGCTAGACGCGTTTCTAGCCAGACACGTTGCTAGTTGCACGTTTCTAGTTAAATGCGTGTCTTGTTAGACACGTGTTTAGTTAAATGCGTTTCTGGCATTGCGTTTCTTGCTACTTGTTTTTCTTGCTAGAAGTGTTTTCTAGTGGTGCGTATATGTAACGCAATGTGTTGTCATGTTCGACACGTTTCTAGTTGCACGTCTCGTGATCAAGGCATCAGTTTTTTGTTATGTCAGCTCTCTCACAGTTTTGCTGACCAAATACCCACGAGGCTCCTTGTTATTACCTTGTGTGGGGTGGGAGGTCAAAAGCTTAAACGAGTGTCCATTTGGCCCCTGAAGTGGTGCTTATTGTAGGGAAATGTAGTCAGTGTGGGCCCAACAGGGATACTAGCAATAGTACTGTACTATCACTATTCTTGAGATTCAGTTGTTAAGGGGTTTAGGATGAAGTACATCTCCTCACTAATGATACCATCGCCAGAAAAAGAAAAAAAAGCAAATAAGCATAACAGCTTGTTTTCATTGAAACACCCAGTGTGTGTGCGCTCCTACAGCTAATTTGCACTCTGGCAGGCAGTTTTAATGTGTAGAAGCAGTCACTTTAGAAGTAGAAGGCTCTGTTAGCATAGCCAGACGCCGTCGGCTCCGCTCAGGTGGGCTGTATTTTTCTCCAATTATACTCAGCATTTAGTTCTGGCGCTGTAAATGAGATGACTATCCTTCTGTTATTAGAGAACGGTGGAAGCAGTTCAGTTGGAAATGATGCCATGATGCAGTACAGTCGTCTCTGCCGGTATAATTAACTACAGACTATCTCTTTCTTTGTACCTCCATTAAGAAATACGACCCTTCGAGTTTCGTGTATTCAAGTGTCCATTAGAGTGCTGCTGTATTTCTCTGGAACTGATAACAGACGGAAATGTGTTCTTGGAGAACAATAGCCAGTATCTGTTCTAAACTAAGGCTGAACGTTTGGTTTCAGAAGTGAAGAGAACACAATGAATGTAGTTGGACCAACCTTGTAACTAACACATGATTAGGTTAGTCATCATACTTCATCATCTTAACATGTAAACAATATATAAACGAGAAATCCTGATAATGTATTATTAATAAAGAAACTCTACAGAACATGTAATTTCAGACCAACTGTTAGACTTGTGAAGACCTATTGATGCATAACCTAAATAATAGCTGGTATATAAATCAACAAACAATTGGCTGAAAAGCCTATTATTACCCAAAACATGACAAACCATTGGTGGGGTAGAGAAAGAGCCCTGTGTACAGCTGTAGCTGCTCTCAGAGGTGGAGCGGGTCGTCGGCGGTTCGATCCCCAGCTTCCCCGATCCTCCAACTGCATGTGGAAGTGTCCCTGGTCCCACATTGCTCCTGGTGTGCCGTCAGTGTATGAAAAGCAGAAAGGAGCTGTACAATAAACCCTGTAAGAGGAGGGGTCTCTGTCCTAGTCTCAAACCTCAGTCCTGACAATGGAGCTGCTATAATGCGTTGTGGGTTTGGTCGTTGATTAACACATTTTTGGGGGTTGTGCGGTGTGGATTGGCTCTCATAACGGGTCTGGTGGACGTAACTATAAAAAAACACTGACCCACGCATCACTACTTGATAAACTTTGAGTGTAAATTTTTCAGAATTGGCATGTTTCATTATGTTTGATGTAATAAATAGACTTTGTAAATAGACTGATGTAAATAGACTGATGTAATAAATAGACGTTTTGTTTATAATAGAACTGCAGCCACGAAGACAGCTTCTGCAACTCGTTCTGTTTTCAGTCATCATGTGAATGTGGATGCTGGTCAGCTGTGAGTCTGTCATTAAGTGCAGTTTAAGTGTAAACTAATTGGGTTAAAATGATTTAATATGCTGCAAATAGCTTTTTTCTGTATTTATAATTCATTTCGGCTGCCAGGTAGTGGCTGATTTAGGTCATCCAGAGATAACATGCAGATTGTTTTTCCCCATCGACCAATCGCTTGCAGAGTTGGTCATAATTCAGTCAGCCAAGATTTTCTTTGGCTGGCCCCAATGTGTATGCGTTCCCTCATAGTTGTTTCAGAACAGCTCTTAGAGTTTGTGTGTGTTCACGTGTTGGTGTGGAGACGGCAGCAGCATGTAAGCTCTCTGCTGCTCACCAAGCCTTTTGGTGCGTTTCCACAGTAACAATGGATTTGGGCTAAAATCGGCCGAGTGTCGGATTTACTCGGCATTGTCTCATCCAGAATATGATGAGAGGGGTAGTGCTTAGTGTTTAGAAGAGGGATGGTAAAGACTTTTTGTAGACTGGATATGACCCTATGAGCTAAAGCCTGGTTCAAACAGTCACAAACACACTGACACACTATGAGAGAGTCCCGGTACTGCTCCGCCCCCTTTAAATGATTAACAGAGATGGGATCTGATTGATCAATCAGGCGGCTTTAAAGACCAGCAGCCAGACAAACAGTTGGATGATGCTGCCAGGATGGACAGGAGGACATGTAGCAGATCTCATAACTAAATTATCCTCATAGAATCTGCCTGAGGAATTACCCATATTATTGTTTTGTTTTCTGCACATGCGTTGTATTGTTGTTTGATATGCATTTCTGTAATTCGTAGATGACCAAAGTGACCAAGGAGCATTGCCTGGAGATTATCAACAAGTTTGAGCCGTGCTCTGAGAACCAGAAGGAAGGAGTTCTGGGAATTGATGGTAAGTCAACTTTAATTTCACAGTGTGGGATATGTCAAAGATTAGCAATTGCTAAGTTTTATTTATTGTGCAAAAAAATATATAAAAACGCCTACTTGTTACCTTAAAGGGAAAAAATGTCCTCATCCTAAAACTGATAGAAAATACTATATGTTAATATTATTTTCCACTTTGAGTTAATTATTTAACCAACATCAGTCCTGATCATAACTATTAATTCTTTGTTTTCAGCACTTAAAAAGCCCCAAATGTCAGGCATAAGTTAAGTTGATGAATTGAATCACTTAACAATTTACATCTCGGTAAATAAATAACTGTGGGTGTTGTATAATAGGATTTGATTTTTTGATGGAAGAGTGAAAATAGAATCAGTGTAAAAATCGTTATATTCCTACTTGATACCGGACACGTTTTCAAAAATTCTCTGACACACAGTTGACCACTTGTCAGACACGTTAGAATGGATTGAATAGAAAAATAATAATTCAAATTGTTGTTAAATGGTATCTGTTAAACTTTCTCCAGGTATTACGAATTACATGCGCAGCCCGGCAGGGGACATCTTCAACCCAGAACACTACAACGTGAGCCAGGACATGAACCAGCCGCTGTGCAACTACTTCATCGCCTCCTCACACAACACCTACCTGATGGGTGACCAGCTGATGTCACAATCCAGGGTGGACATGTACGCCTGGGTGCTGCAGGCCGGCTGTCGTTGTGTAGAAGGTCAGCATGGACACGTGGAACATACTGATGTAGACGTTATAGTATACAAGCACAGTTTAAAACGGGGCCTCAAAGCTGCAATTGTCAGTTTTCTGCATTAGGGATGGGGTTCAGGAGCATTTTATTGAATCTGTTCTAAATCTAAATTGATCTAAATCCTCTTGTTGATATTCTTTCAAATCTCTTATCCAATGTTTTTAACATGGTTAAAAAACAAAAACAAACTATTTCACTCAGTGTCATACTGTACCTAAACCATGGAGGTTCTGCTGAGCCAAAGGGAGAAAGCTGCACAAGCAAAACAACACCATGAAGATACTATTAATTCTACTTGATCATACAGCTCAACAAATCACAGATTTAGGGATTTCTTATTTTATGAATGGATGCTGGATGAATATTAAAGCGGGGAGGTTCCCCCCTTCGTCATGAATGGACTAAAAGTTTGGTTAACAGTGCAGGCTTGGACCTGATTTAGTGCATTCAGTTTAAAGTGATATTTTATTTCACCCAGCTGACGGTATTTAACATTAGAGGTGAAACGTACACAGATGTCAGTTTGGTTCATATCCCGGTTTAGGAGTCAGGGTTTGGTGTACGTTCACTACAGTGTAAAATGTGTTCATTTCTTTTGGACTGACCACAGTGGAAGTGTCAAAGACGGACACAGTCCTCCTGCTGGGCACTGAGGCAGCATTTTGCAACTTTGGTAAACTGTTTTCGTTATTAAAATGGGGAACATTTTAAAAACTTCTGTATTACACTGAACACTTTCCCAAAAATGCAACAGATCAGTGGGCTATAAAACGAAAAAGCATCTAGTGGTGTGTGTGTGTACTGTATATTTACACAATCAAAGCCTCCAAACATGTATTGTGTGTGTATGTATATATACAGTGGGTACGGAAAGTATTCAGACCCCTTTAAATTTTTCACTCTTTCATTGCAGCCATTTGCTAAAATCAAAAAAGTTCATTTTATTTCTCGTTAATGTACACTCAGCACCCCATCTTGACAGAAAAAAACAGAAATGT